CAGCACTTATTGTAGAACTATTGCTCAACATTTACTAATACGTTTTTAAAATCAAAAGTTGTATCTGTTAACATTAGTTAATGCATAATATGAATATGAATTTTTACTAACATTAAAAAACGGTTAATAAGTGCTGTAAAAATATATTGTGCTCTGTTAATTTGTGCTAACTAATGCATTAACTTATGTTAACAAAAGAGACCTTATTGTTAAGTTTTACCATAAAAACAGTAACATTCTGAAATATTATAATTTAAAATAGCTGTTTTTGTTTTTATGTAATTTATTCTTGTTATGCTAAAGTGAATTTTCCGCATCATTACTCCAGTATTCAGTGTCACATGATCCTTCAGTAATCATTCTTATATGATGATTTGCTCAAGAAACATTATCATCAATGTTGTAAACAGTTGTGCTGCTTAAGATTTTTGTGAAAACCGTGCTGAATTTAATGAATTGAGTCCCTCAGAAATTACTTTGAACGGTACAGTATATATTTCATATAATAAACACATCATTATAAGACAGTAAGGTTTTTCTAATTACATATATAAAGACAATAGTGGTTAAATTTAACAGCAGTTTAAGTGGATCTCTCACCTGGTTGAACTTCTTGTCACAGTGCTGACATTTGTGACCTTTGTTAGTGTCGTGGGTCTCTAGATGTCTCATCTTGGCAGTGGGGTCAGAAAAGGCCCGTTCGCAGTAGTCACAGTGGTAGGGTTTTTCTCCACTGTGCACCAACTGATGCCGCTTCAGGTTTCCAGAAGTGGTGAAGAGCTTCCCACAGTCCTCACAGCTGTACCGCGCCTCATCCGTGTGCCGCTTCCTGTGTAGGTTCAGCAGACTGATTTGCCGATAACTCTTTCCACACGTGGAACAGCAGTATGGCTTTAGAGGACTGGAGAAACAGAAACGTATATATGTTTACTTTATTTCGTCTTATGGTTGACAAGTCAGATGAGACTGTAGAGGAAGAGCATTAGACTGTATGAATATAGTGATCACCTGTGTGTTTTCTCGTGTGCTTTGCAGGCAGCTGGGTCTGAGAAAGCTTTGTCACAGTCTCTGCAACTAAATGGCTTCTCACCAGTGTGAATGCGCATGTGACGTTTAAAGTTGCCTGTGTGTGTAAACTTCTTCCCACAGTCCTGCAAGAATCAGAAAAACTATAATGAAAATAGACCTAACATTGGAAAATATATCATTTTCACTTATACTGTATAACAAACAGACCTAAAGGACAAAGACGATGAGGATTACACAATTGAAGAATCTCTCACCTCACATCTGTGTGTGACGGAGCCATACGCTCTGGACTCACTGCGCTCAGCTGCAGAAGCAGATTGCTTCCCCTCCGAACCCGTCGTTTCTCCATCCTCTGTGTCCATCTCCTCTTCTTCTTCTTCTTCCTGCTCCTCATCCTCCTCCTCTTCTTCCTCCTCTCCATCTTCTTCTTGTACCACGTTCTCTGTGCTCTCAACTTTAGACACACCTTCCTCAGCATCATCAACTTTTAGCAAAAATATAAACAGCTATGAAACCTAAACATAAAGATATAAGTTGAATGTACACCATAGTTATTATAGACGGCTGAATTTACCTTGATTAGATGTGTGAACGGTTGCATATTTCGACTTGCTTCTCCTTCTACTAACAAATGACCGTTTAGCCGCCATCCTCTGTGAGAGTTCTGTAGGAGCAGTATAGTGTCACACAAGTATTGAAACACGGTTAACATTAACAAAATTGTTATGAGTAGAGAATGTACACTAACTAGGAGTGTAGTCTGTGTCAGAAGGGTCATCTTGGTATGGTGGAATCTCTTTTGTGGCTTTCTCTTCTTCTGTTTCTCTCTTGCGATCCAATACAATGTCTTTTTTTGGCCTCGTTTTAGACAGCCTACTAATTTTGCTGACAGCTCTCAGAGACTTAGCGCTTTGTTCCTCAGTCATGTTACTCGCAGCCTCGTGGGTTTCTGTTGTTTCTGACTGCAAGGGAGCTTCATTCACTTCAGGAACCACATTCTGAGACGCTGAATGACTCTCCTGCTCCTCCTTGGAAATTGCATCCTCCGGATTCCTCACAGATCTCGGCTGTTGCTCAGTTACTACCACTTTATATGAACACAAATGAGAAAGGGTTTATCTATTATGCCTTCATTGCCTTCTTAAACCAACAGCATATGATAATCTGAACTCTGCACTAACCAGGCTTGGTTGATGAAGGAACAGTCAATGACTGAAAAGCTGAACAAGCATTGACAATTTCCTGCATTTGAAGGAAAGTAGCTACAACAAGAACATCCTCTATGTTCTGAGGGTTCAAAGTCAGCTTTGCGGTGTACATAAACTCAAGGACCTGCTCAAGACCTGAATACAATATTGAACACATTAGACGGAGGCAGAAAACAACAAACAACCAAAGACCAGAAAAATGTTAAAATTGTTACATATGATTAACCACAAAAGATCAAATTCATGGATAGTTCACCCAAAAATAATTACTCACCCTCATGTTGTTCCAAAAGTGAATGGCTTTCTTTCTTTTGTGGAACAAATAATGGAGACCAATTGTTTGTTTCCCCAGCGTTCTTCAAAATATTTTATTTTGTGTTCCACAAAAAGAATGAAAAGCATTTGAAACAACATTAGGGTGAGTAATTGATGACCAAATGTACATTTTTAGGTGCAAAGTCCCTTTAATAAAAATTACCCGTAAGAATGCAAGCCTACCTGATGCATTGCTGATATCAAGATGAACAACTTCTTTCTGGTCCAAAAAGAGTGTGCGGAAGTAAGCACTACATGCCGCCAGCACAGCCTTATGGGCCTTGAAGTCAACTCCATCCACCACAAAAGTGCAGTCACAAAGAAGACCCAACTGACGTTGTTCATTAAGTTGCCCTAGGACTTTCCCACTATGCCAAGGAAAGTCCATAATGGATGGAGCAGACTGTTGCACTGTAGGCCACAGTATCCTATTCATAAAAAAGGGTGAAAAAAAAAATAATCACATTATTTCTGCTTTTGATTTTGAATTTGAGGTTCAAAAACTAAATGCCCCAGTTTGCAAGGATGTAAACAAATTGAAGTGAACCAGGGCCTTAGTCTGGTCAACTTTGTCACCAAAAAACATTCATTAAATTCTGTCCTGGCCCCTGTGAATTTTACCATTATGTAAAAGGTTTAAAATCAACAACAACTATCGGAATGATCCAGAGAATAGTGATTATAGCCCTAATTCAAAGTAGTTAGTTTCACAAAAAGTACTAAAACTGAATATTCATTTGTGTGCTATAATCTACACCTCATCCAACTGTACAGAACATCTCATATCTAATGGAATATCTGTTACACACAGCACAAAATGAACCCTCTATGGTGCTTTATTGTGCGTCTATATTGCCAAACATTAATCATACAACAGGCTACATACATTAATTACTTCAATAAATCAACATCATTGACAGTCCGTGTGTTTCTGTGCGACACTGAAACGTTTATCTCGAGCTCGCTCGGGACATTTTGTCCAGCAGTTTAATTCAAACAGTCTTTATCAACCGAATCGAGCACAATGGTGTCTGAATGTCTGGCTTTAGCGAGTAAATGTGTCTAGTGACTTGGAGAGTAACTGCGCAATACCCCAACAAGAATTTGACAATGTGACGATGTTGCGGATTGATTATGAGTCCTCTCTGACTGTCTCTCTTAGCTCCGGGATTAATTCAGCGTGCCTGGCCCTACTGTGTCAAGATGGCGCTGGCAGAGACGGCCTATAATCCTGCCTCTTCTTTGCTTATTTTAGCTGCGCGTTCGTTAGAGACTTGCCTGAAAAGTAGCCCTAAAACAATTCGATGATAGGATTATGTTCGATATTCTTTACCTTTTATAATGGACGAGTTTCTTTCTAGCTTTCACTGACTTCAGCTGATCCCGTCCAATCGAGTGTTTCGGTGATCGATCTCACTGCTCAGCCTCGTCGGCCTCGTCGCGCCGCCATCTTCTGCTCTCTGATCGATTGATAGTGGCCGAGCGAATGGCTGAAAGTTAAACACGATAGCGCATGCGCGGACTTTTCTTGTTGTAACTGCTTTGACCACATGACGGCAAACTTTAGCTATAAATACCAGTGATCTGGTAATAAGACCAGAGTATGAAATACCCATTTAAGAAACGCTGCTAATTTATGTTGTAGAATTTTTCCTAAACCTAACCATACCAGCGTCTATTTATTGACGTTAGCTAGTCTAAATTTCACTTCAGCGAATCCATCCTATATCCAGCGAGTCTAACTTAACGTTAATTGTTTTCTTGCTTGCTGCACATCTTAAATGACAGACAAACTTGAATAATTGTCAGGGCTTGTAAGGGGCCGTTATAGAGCACATTTTATTCATTAACTAAACCATCAGTGAACCATTACCATGTAGCTTTTGGCAAAAATTGGCAGGTGCTTTACATATAATTTAAGCTTATTCTTTTATGTTACCAATTCACATTTAAGAACTTTAATAGCTACATCTGTATGTTGAGGCTCATGTAAATGTTCATGTTTCCTCAAGAATTTGGAATATTAAAATACACTTTGAATGCTGGAAAACACTCCCTTAACCAGCTGGTTTCCTGGTTTTAGCTGCTCTCCCAATTAGATTTTAAAGGGGTTTGGACATTTTTCAGTTGGTTAGCATTGGAGACCAGCCAAATCCAGTCCAGCAGATCATTGTAGGATAATTTATTTTTTCGTTTTAATTTCCAATTTTGAACTAAATAATAATCTGTCTTAATATGTACAACTGATTTCCATACATTTGTATCTGGTTCAGCACAGTGACAGGTTGATGGATGACAAAGCGTAAAAATAGTTGATGATAAGACTGAATAATAACAGCAGACTCTATTTATAGAATAAATACTCCGAGACACAGTCCCTGTCATTTGCTTATGATGTCCACTTTACTGGAAGTGGACAAGAACCAAATCACTGACTCACATGCTTAAAATATTCATCAAATGTGTTCTGGTTTTATTCTGTTCTAAAGTAGTTTTAATCACACAACACAACAATTTAACATTAAGAAAATGTACCTTTTGATAACAATAACAATCAGTTCAATAAACAGATTTCTCACACTTCTAACTCATTTGGGAATGAGTTGCATTATTTGTTCTGATTGTTTGTCATACAGTGGGCTCCAAAAAAATGTGAGACATATTTTTTTCAAGAAAATGTTCTCTTTCAATCTTAAGTTTAACTTTTGAATCTCAGATTTTAAATGTGATCTCTGACTTTTGGACCCCACTGTATGTATATTGTAAGGTGATATACAGTTGGCAGGGAATAGAAGTTAGCAATGCATTTGTCTAGAATGTTTTGAATATATATGACAGGATTAAATTCCATCCAAGTCTAATGAGAAGAAATGAGAGAAGGTCATGGAGGAATGATAAAGCAGGACTAAGTAACTATATTTTTAAGGTCATTTATCACAGGGAAACAGATACAGCGGGTGGGGAAAGATCTAAATTTTGATCTCTGTGCGGTACGTCTGTGCGTGCTCCAGTTTTGCAGTGTTTCTTTGTGCTTTTATAGTGAGAGTCCCATCAGCCCCTAAACATGACTTGACCGAGGTCGGGTCCACATCCTCAGGTAGTTGGCATTTATGGGTAAAAGTGTTCAACACTGTCCCATCAGTTGCAAGCTGTTGAACAAAATGCATATGGGAATTAATGATGTTCTGAACAGTTCAGTTGTATTATACAGAGGCCTGTATCTGTTTACCTTTTCAGCATGAACTTCAATCTGATTGTTTGAGGTGGTGACTATCACATCCTCAGGGAGAAGTCTCGGACATCCACTGTGAATTGATATGTGTCTCCCAGAGTCTTGATGTTCCCAACTGTCCCTGTTCTGTCTAAGGGAAAACATAAAATCGAATGTGATATCTGAAATATATTACACACGAGTTCTGGAATATTTGATTCTGATTGGTCAGTTGCATCATCGAGGGTTCTGATATTTCCTAATATTGCCCATGCCTTGCGCTCTTCCGGTACTACTTTCATGTTTTTTTGTAAACATATTTTTACGTTTACAAGAATAACTGGCGTCAGCTTGCGTCTCATTTATAGACTGTGGTTAAAATTGACATAATAAATAGGTCTATTACTGTAGAATTGTTGCAGTTTTCGTCTTGTAGCTAGGCAGATTGTTTTGTAGCCTACATCGTAATGGACTGTTTTTTATTAGTGAGATCTTAAAACAGCCAAAATTATAAAATAAAATAAAACATTTTCCTTGTTATTTTCAGTGACAAACTTATGCTATAATTAACCCTGTTATTCCTCTCTTCTGTGTCAAGAAAATAAGCGTAACTTTTTTTTTAATGATAGGGATTTTTAATTATGTATTCTTTAATATTTTGGGGGTTATTTTTAGAGGATTTTTCATGATTCTGCATCATGTATATATTTTCACTAATTATTGAAGTATTTTCAGACATAATTACTTATATCATTAGTTTTTCCATTTGGATATATATTTTGACATTATCCATTGTCATTATTGTCAATTTTGTGTGTGTTTATATAGCAGGTGCCACATGAGCCATCAAGTTTTGTACCATTCAGATTAAGTAAAAATGAAACAACATAAAATAATCATTCACAACATAAAATTAATTCAATCAGCAATGAGAATTGAACATACTCTGTTATGTTACACAAACACCATGTTACAAATGGGCATTCCTGTTCATTAATATCCTTCTAATGATGTGTGAAAATTTGCCTTGATGAATCTCAGACTATTACTTCATCTTCATATATCAGGCTCAGCAACAGATCACCCTCGAGTCATTCCCCAACGGTGAAGTCACAGCATGGCTCTGGCCCAAAACATTCCTTAATTTACCCTTTCTCTGCCCGCCATGTGCCCTTGTATAGCATATGAACAATCTGCTGTTTTTATATATACTTCTACAGTTACCAAGATGCAACTGTGAATATTAAATACATATGCCTTCACATACATATCACACAGACAAATAGTCAAATCTCAAGTCAAGTCAGTCTCATGCAGTCTTGAAAGTCTTGTTGACACATTTGTACAGTCTGTGCCCACTTTTTACATACAATGATTAAACGTATAATTAGAATGTGACTATATCCAGTAAATACTGATTCTCATCTAAAACAAAAATGTTTAAGGAGATGAAACGGATCAAGATACATTAGGCTATATAGATCCACAAAGAACTAAAACCAGCCTTAATGACTCACTTGGAAATCCCAAAGCATCTTTTGGACACATGAAAGATCCAAAGTCCTCAGCAAAGAGTCCCCGGCTCTTCTCCATGTATGGGTTTGTTGAGGTTGAAGATGAAGATGAGGAGGATGATTTCTGGTGGTAACTGCGCTCCGACCGGTAGGCAGAGGAGTTGGTCGCACTCATTAGTGTTCAGATGGTTTGTTTGCCTCAAATTGATATCCAGTCAGGGCTTTGTATTGATACACAGAGCACAGAGTTTATAAATGCGGTCGTTTTGTGCCCTGTCCTTTTTAAAACATGATATGAATCCAGTCTCAAGCCTGTTTGTATTAGATGTGTCTTCCTGGTGTGGCTATTGTCTGTCTAGCTGTCTTTTATATGGTGGGTCTAGCTTCTTACTTCTATGTGTGTGTGTTAATTGTAGGATGACAGTGTGCTATAATTATCATGCGAGAGAGAGGGGCTCTGTGGTCGGAAAAGTTTTGTGTGATGAGGACTTGAGGTTGAGAAAGGGGCTCTGACAAAGACACAAAGATAGGAAAGGGGGGGGGGGGGGGTTGAGTCAACAGCTGGCATTCCAGACACTCGCTCCCTGAAATAGCCATTCTCTTCCTCTCTCCCGTTCTGTGTGCTCTCCATCCATTTTTCTCCAGCCTGCCATCCAGTAATTTGCTGTGATTTACAAATGCAGTCTGAAAATTACAGTAAACACAGGTCCTGAGGGCGTTCATCTCTGCATAAACAACAATGCTGAGGAATGACAGTTCAAACTGAGGATTAACAGAAAGATGGAAGGAATGTCAATGAGAGAGTGACGTTGAGGGACAGATGACGTTAGGAAAACAGATTAGGAGGCATTTCTTTTTGGAGGAGAGCTGCTAATAATAGACATTTTAGTGTTGGTTTACTCCTCATTATTGCATGTATTTTCCGTTTAGGGATGCACTGATATTACATGCTGATAAGCCAATAATTACTTTTATGATATGGTCAAATAAATGGCCAGTATTCAAATTCTATATAATTATGTATAAATAGATACATTTAAAAAAATGCTAAAATTGAATATAATACGCATGAAAATGAATATTTATTTTGCTAAAGATTACATTTAACAGTGTTATTTTTTATTATTAGAGATTTTAAAGATTTAAGTGAGTGTTAGATGACAGCAAAGGCAATCTGTATTTAAAAATAGGAAATTATTGAATCTCCAATACTGACCAATACTGATAAATTAAAACATCTCTAATATCAACTGATTACTTATTTGGCACCCTGATCATGTTAAAGGGATAATTCACTCAAAAAAGAAATAAAAAAGAAAACAATTTAATTCTAAAAAAATAATAAATAAATATTCTAAAAAAAATAATAAAAAAAATCATTATTTAATATTTGCTCACCCTCATTCCAAACCTTCAGTGAAGCAAAAAAGAAAACTTTTTAAGAGGTGTATCAGGTTTTTTCTTCTTATTCTTCTTTTTGTCAATACAATGAAAACCAAAACAGTTTGGTTACCAACAGTTTTGAATGACAGGAATGACAGTAAACTATCCTTTTAAGATGTTAATAGCATTTAAAGTATTGAATGTTTTAAAATAACAGGCATTTCTTTGGAGTCTGTGTTGTTCAAACCTCAAAGTGTGCCCTATCACTTTAAAGACTTTCAAACATTGTCTAAATCTAGCTGAGAAACTCAATGTTTCTTCTAACAGCATGTGTCATGACACAAATGCAGCTCTTCTAATTTGATTCTGTGCTGAGAGAGAAACAGAGAGAGATAGAGAGTGAGAAAGCGAGAGAGAGAGCATTTAATCAGTCAACAGTATAATCAGGACTAGCACAGTTTGTCCTCAGGCTTAGTGTGAGTTCACTTTAGAAAGTTCACTTGATATCCTCACTAGTATTCCGCTAGTTTATGGATGTCATTGGACAGCCCTCAGGGGACAGTTTTGTAACAGCATGAATACACATAAACGTAGATTAATGGGGCGAAATTGAGTTTTATATTTACTTAAACCAATGCTACTGTAAAGTTAAGAAGCTAAGGCTACTATTGTTCATTTTCCATAAGTATCATGCGTGAATACATTACAGTTGGTAGTACTGTACGCATGTTGCAAGACTCTTTACACTATAGAAGGTCCTAAAACTGAAAAGGTTCAGGGCCACAGCAATATATGTAAACATGGAAGCTCAGAGAGAGTTTATATTGTTTATATTGTCTGTGCATGGTTTTCTCAGCTGCTGATCATTACATAATATAGGATTCTCATTGTCACTCAATGTGAATGGCTTGTTTTGCTGGGACTAAGAAAAAGTACAAGAGCAACAAACAATGTAGCAGGAAGTACACAAAATAGAGACTCAAATTATGGTACCAAAACAAATTATACAATTGTAAACGCTGAGATAAGAAAGAAAATGCATTTAAATAGCCTGTCGCTGTCTATACCCCTCAGTCAATATATTCTCTTTTTGCATTTGCGGCTGTTATGGCTCTATAAAAACCACCGGCTTCTGGACCCATCTGAGAAAAATAAATGGAAATTGACAGGGAAAATGAACAGAATGCGGCATGACAGAGGGTAGCCACTCATCAGTCATGGCAGGAAGGGTTATTATTGTGACATTTCAGTTCACACATATTCACCGTGTGATCCAGTCAATGCTTTGCGAGTAGCAGATTGGTTCTGTCAGTGGGGATAAAACAATTTCAATTTGATCAGGGAGTTTTACATTTCAAATAAACTAAAACCTTCTGTCATTCAGTTTGCAGTGGGGGGGGGGGGGTGTAACAAATTATGGGAGAAAGTAAAGAATCCAAAATCAAAGGACAAGAAATTGTTTCAAGTTATCTATTACTTTGTGTTTTCAGTGCCATCATAGGCTACATAAATCATTATGCAAGCCTTCAGCAGAATTAGACAACAGGGAAATTAAATGAGCATGTGCAACAATAATAGCTTTATTGTTTGCCTTTGTGTGCGAACTAAGAAAATGAATAATTCATCTTGATGTTTGTTCAAAAAGATTGATTTATCGTCTGAGATAGTGCTGGTCACTGTGACAATAATATAAATTCCACAGGGCAGGAATCAACAGGACTTTAATATACAACAGAATAATGCATTCATGTTTTTATTGTCTGAAATAGCTTAATGGAATCCACTAATGAAATTATATTATGACGTATCACTGCAGCTATGTGATTTTGGAAAATCTGTGTGAATCAATTATCCTGCGTGACATTGATTTGGCATGTATGTGTGATTGCTTTCACCTTGAACAAAGGTTAATGCAATATGAAACATAGAAATCATATATAGGGGCAATTGCTATCTAAATTATGCAATACATGAGAAAAGCTGGGTACACTTTTTAATTAATGCTGCTCTTTTCACCTGTTAAGAAATGTAGTCAGTGCTCATTAAAGCGAATGGGTGACGATGACAATTCTAAAGGTCAGTTGGGTTCTATCCCTCTCAGCCTTAACAACAAAGGTTCATAACACATCACAAGTCATTTCATTAACCGCATAATTAAAAGTTCCAAAAGGCCACAATGAGATATGTCCGAATGACATTTATGAGATCAAAATGTATTTCAGAGAAAACAAAAAAGGAAACTTCAATCTCGCATATTGTTCCAATTCAGTGTCTGCCCAGAGGGAAAGCAGCAGAGGACGTGCGCCATAAATAAGTTAAAGCTTAATTTTCCTTTCAAGCTACATCTGGTGACGCCAGGGTAAAGAGTCGATACTGACCTCAACAGTCTCTCATTTGGAATGAGTCAACAGGCTGAAAGGTGAGCTCTCTACCTCTGTATTTCAGTTTTCAAATGACTTTAGTTTATAATTTCCAATATTTTGGGATGTTAGGCCTATCTGAACTGATGTTATCAGGATAATGTGCAGTCAGTCAATAACCCATGTCTTACACAGCTATAATGCTAATCGCCAAATAAATGCATGGACATTAAACAAGGATTTGAGTTCAAATTATTGTATGATTTTACCCGCTATCATTTTACGAGTCCACGGAGTGCGCAATTACCGGCTGAGCGGCCTGCAACAGCATTGTCAATGGATAATGGAGAAAATTGTTAAGTATCAGAACACTGGATAGCACGATTGGCCAATCAGAATTGAGAATTCCAGATTTTTATGAGATGTATAATTGCATTTAAGTCAATATGAAATGGAAGTTGCAATAGTATTTTCTTCCATATTGTGACGTAGGCCTGCCAACTTTATATCCAAGTGAAACGGCTTCTTGAATAAGAAAAAAATGTAGGACGGGAGCTGCTTGATTTTGTCCATTAGGAATAGAGGAGCCGCCCACAGCCGGTGCCGGAAGTAAAAATTCAATACAATTTCTCCATTGACAGTTGGGATATAAGCCATAAAAACATAACCATACTGGTAGACTTAAAACTATACGGCTATGCCAAGTGATTGTATATGCTCATATAAATGCCAAAAGTGTTAAGTACTAACCTTGTTTTAAGATAAATGCCTTTTATTTGCGATGCATTGGATAAGTACTTCATTACCCACAATCCTGAACAATCGATGCATCTGATTGGTGGAAGTCGTGTAACGTGTCTGAAACCCCGCGAAGGTCCGTGAAGACTGAAGATCGTGTAATGACGTAGGGGTAAATTCATTGGTCGCACCTCAGAGACGCCCGCGCCATTGAATGTGCAGTTGCCGCAGCACAGCCTATGAGCGAGCCAGATGCTCAATGCGTTTTACGTATAAGCTTGCTTCAGTAAATCGAGGAAAAGGATTTTCCCTGCACATTCACTATATAAAATTCACTGAAGGAAAAAGTTCACGTGGCTGTTGTCAGATTTGGAAGTCACTCAAAAGGCTCTTTCACAGTGGCTTCAGTCGACTTCAGTGAGGCGCGGTGGTTTATGGGATGAGTAGTTCCTTTGCTCGGAAATTAAAATATGTACACAGTGCTGTACCTTTGACTTTTTGGGGATTTTCTCTTCGTTTTTTCACTCGAAATGATATGTTGCATGCTTATGAGTTCAGCCGTAGCTGGTTATCCTCAGACATGCTCTAAAACTCTTTAGATACGTATTTTCCAAAACGTCAATGGGAGAAACGAATGGGAAATTTACTTCCGGCACCAAAGCTCTCTCGGGCTGTGGGCGGGACTCTATTGATTGGATTGTTGGATCGTTGTAGGTTGTCCCACACTCGCATCAGTAACCACGTCATCAAAAAAGAGATGTAGCGACAAAAGGGAGGAGACGTTATTTAATTAAAGATTATGAGGGCACATAAATTTAAAAGATAAAATAATGATGTGCATTTATAATAAGTACTGCAGTTTTCCATGAAAAAATAAGAATTGTCCATTTTAATTTCATGGTGACACAAAGACTATGCGTGCTGCATTTCAGACAATGGATGCAATTAGTGTAAATGTAAAGCATCTTGAAGAAACTGAAGAACAGTGCACACGTGAAGATAAGACAGACCCAGATGCGGTGGAGGAAAAGCTAATCAGCTCTAATGAGCATTCACAAAAACCCTGGCAACAATCACGGTCACGCATCAGAGGTGAGGCGGATCATCTGCAATTTCCTCCCCGTCATAAATGATCTCACTCTATCAATCTTTGGTGCTGAAATTCAAACTATCATTATTAACCACTGTGATTTGTGCTTTGCATTTGGGCAGAGTGTGTGCTATATGTGAAGAAGGTTCTGGTGTCTTTTGCTAGCATGGAGTGGTACTGTTATGCCCTCTTGGGGATCATCACCGCTCTTATGAGCTTCTTCATGGACATGACAGTGGCCAAGCTGCTGAATGGTGAGCAGTTCCACCTTGTCACTTAAAAAATGGTTAGTAAAAAATGTATACAGATGTAGGTGGGTCAGTTGGGCTAACTGTTGGAGCATTGAAGAATCCCAGCAGAAAAACAGACGACCTTAGATTCTCTTGTATTTCTCACACACCTCAATCCATGTCCTTCACTCTTATTAGCTCACCAATGGCTGTACAGATGTCTGAAGGGTCACCACCTGCTGCAGTTCCTCTGCTGGACGCTTTACCCAGCCTGCCTCTGTGCTCTGTCCACCAGCTTCGCCCACAGCATCTGCCCATTCTCTGCAGGTCAGATAGACGCTCATGCATAAATTGCTTATTAGGTACACCCAATCTGATTTATTATAATTATTTAAATCCATGTGCTTTACACATTTGCACATGCATGAGACAAAATCAACAACACACATTTTTAGCTTAAATAAAAATGCATCAATTCACTTACATAAAACATAAAACGGATTTGGTCATGCATTATGTGTTTCACCCATGACCCTTCAGGCTCTGGTGTTCCTGAGGCGAGGGCTATTCTCTTAGGGATAGACATGCCAGGTTATCTGTCCCTATCCAATCTGTTTGCTAAAATGTTTGGCTTGATATGCACACTAGCTTCAGGCAGTACAGTGTTTCTTGGCAAAGTGGTAAGACCCTATATTATAAGCAAATGAGGATTTGAAGCTTAACCATACATTTGACGTTCTGAATATATTGACCTTTTGCAATATACAACTTATATCAATAGGGCCCATTTGTCCATTTATCCATCATGGTGGGTGCGTTCATGAATCGACTGCATGTTTCCTGTCGTGGTGGAAAGCAGGTGAAATGCACTGTAACAAATGAACCATGCTGCCCTCTTTAATTTTGTATCATGAGAACCAGATGGAAATTGTATAGAAGGCTACTTATACTAATGACTCTCTTGCTCGGTTCATTCACAGAGAGTAGCTAAAGGAGAAATGCTGGTTGTGGCGTCAGCAGTGGGCGTTGCGAGCTGTTTTGGGGCTCCAATCAGCGGTGAGTTGACGTCACCGTGGTCCGTGATATCCTTTAGTACTAAAAAACACAGTCATTAATGTATCTCAATCACTTGACAGTCTGCCACCTGACCTTTCCCTGAATGTTTCTCTCTGTTCTACCATCATAGGCGTTCTGTTCAGTGTAGAGGTGATGGGGACTCATTATTCAGTCCGAGATTACTGTCCCTGCTTCTTTGCAGCGGCTTGTGGAGCGATCACCTTCAGGCTGCTCTCTGTCTGTAGTAGAGATCAAGGTGAGAGGTTTACGTTACCTACAGCGCCCCCTAATGGATGCTACTGTTGTCTTTCTTTGTAGTAATCTCATCCGCCGCAAGACCATCAGTTAGCCCTTATGGGAAGCTATGAATTGGCATTATTGAATTTAAACGTGATTAAACTGAAAGCATCACACTACCAGAAGCCAGAAGGATATATGAGAGAAATGATTTAATCTTGCTTTGATCCATGTCAACAGAGACAATCCAGGCCCTGTTTAAAACCAGCTTCTCTAGTGACGTGCCTTACCAGCCTTTTGAAATCTTCATTTTCGCTCTGCTTGGGTAAGCACTCAGTCGCCAGATTGGTGATGGACAAGTTATAAATCAAATATTGCTTGGTCATGTCTGTTATCTCAGTGTTTATAGTATTCAAATTCATGGAGCAGTAATTGTTCTAATGATTTTTTCCTCAGGCTGTTCTGCAGTATTCTCAGCTGTATTTATTTATTTTGTCATCGCTGGGCTCTGCGTTTTGTCAAAACAAACAAAACCATCAGCAGATTTCTGGCAACAGAGTGAGCTGAAAAATTTATTTCAGCAGACAATTTCAGATTTTCCTTGTCCTCATTTGGTGTGTGTGTGTGTGTGTACAATGAGGTCCAAACAACCAATACTGAAATGGTTCTACTTTCTTTCTTCTTCTTTTTTTTGGAAATCAGAATAATGAAAGTGTAAATGAAATGTTTAGAGGGGTCATGAACTGGCTTTTTAAATTTTATTATATTGTTGTCTGAGGTCAACTTATGACGTTTGCTTAGTTTTTGCATTCAAAAACATAAAAATGAATAGGTAATAGGCTATTTTCTACCCTAGTTTTGAGCCTAGCTCAAAAACGCTCGGTTTTTATGGGCGTCTCGCACTGAAGACTTGGAAGTAAACGCCCACTGCTGTGAGTGGATAACAGTTTTGCATATTATAATGAGTTTCAACTCACCCGTCGATGCACTTGGGGGAAATTGTTTTGAAAACTTCCAATGTTGTAAAATGGCAACCGGAATGATTCGTCCATACATGTTCGACCCAGAGTCCGTGTGTTGCACCATTCCTGTCAGATCCAATATAGAAAGCACAGCACAGTTCTTTAATCTTAATCGGACAGCAAATCCAGTCTTGTTTACAAAACAATCCTCAGTGAAATGAAGCGAACAGACGGACAATGTTTTACCCTCATCAGCTGGAACGTCAATAAAAATTAAGTTTAACAACGCAGTCCTATTGGAATCCAAGGGAAGCATATGCAGCGACTGTCTTCTTCCACAACCAGGCGCTGCACAATATTTTGTATTGCTTGGTAGCTCGATCCGGTTTGTCATCACGAGGTAGGCATCTATGTTATTTAGCTATGCGTGTAATGCGTGAATCGGTGGGCGGGGCTAACGGCCGCATTGAGTAGGAGTTGATCTTCTTCTGCGGGGGTGCTGTTTTATACTCTTTGACGTCATAGTTCCCCACTTTGAAAAACGAGTCGTTTGCTGAGCCTTGTGTCAATAAAAGCTTTTATTGGACTAACAAGGACGTTTTCAGTTCTGAAACTTACAGAATATTCTTATATGATGATCTCTTAGATGTCAAAAGTTCAAGGAAAATTTGATTTCTCAGTTCATCACCCCTTTAACTTGAAATGTTTACATCTTCAATACTAAAAGAATATTTTCAGGTGTAAATTACATTTTAATCCCATATTTCCATCACAGTCATTTATGTTGACATCAAATATTTGCCTTTCATTGGATGCCTGAAGAAATTTGTTGTGATCCAACTTTGTTTGTTTTCATAATCACATCCAGAAAGCCACTTTATTCAGCCATTGTGGCATTTCTCCTTGCCTGCGTTACGTTTTATCACTCAGCGGGACATTTCATTGCTGCTGAGGTGAGGATAGGCCTATTTCTGGAATATTTGCAGTACTTCAAACTTTGGTGCTCTGGTGTTTTGTATTTACTTTAAATTTCTCTTTGTTTTCTACTAGCTCACAATGAAGCAGCTGCTTACTTCACTGTTAGACGGCAATTCCTGGTACACTGTTTCCCAGAATGCCTCTGTCGTCCTGCCTGATCCTCAGAACACATTCTGGCAGGCATGGAACCCACCTGGCAGAGGTTACTTCCAAACGCTAGGAATTTTCATTACTGTGAAGGTAAAATAAAATGAGTAGCAATTAAGTAGAAATAATTATCATGGTGTTCATAAGCTGCTTGTTGAAGAAATTAAGCAGATTTCATGATTTCTACCAATCTCTCTGTAAGGTTGGGCTATTGGTCATGGCTTGTACTTTGCCTTTACCTGCTGGCTATTTCATGCCAGTATTTATTTACGGTAGGTCGACGGTTTATTTACGGTAAATAAAAAGTAATATTATTATAAAATAATAGTAGATAAAATATAAAATAAAATATGAATCATTAAAATATGAAACTATTTTGAAACATTTAAAAAATGAACAAATAATAATAATAATTGAAATTATAAACTGAAAATTAAATAAATAAAATATAATAAAGTAAATATAAAAAATGGGATAAAATACTAAAACAATAACTTGTATAATTACTATAATAAACAATGACAAAATAAAAATAAGGACATTAAATATATTTTAAAAATACATAAATAAAATGTATTATTGTCGTTGTCAAAATGTAGTTAGCGATAATTTGTAATGTATTAGTTTAACCATATACAGTTTTCAATGAATCCATAAGATGTTTTTTTAAGAAGCCCATTGAAACAGCAATTGTCTGTGTTTTAGGCGCTGCAGTGGGACGTTTCGTAGGCGAGGGCTCGGCCTATCTGCTCTCAGATGGAATCTCATCAACAAAGAGTCTGATAAACCCGGGCGGCTATGCTTTGGCAGGTAAACAATTTTATTATCCTGTCAGTTTTCTGAAGGAGGATTATAAACACTGCAGGCTCACAGAGAAGATAAGGCCTGTCTAAATGCATTAATGGGGTCATATATGTATGTGTGTACAGGAGCAGCTGCCTTCTCTGGGGCTGTGACACACACACTCTCTCCTGCCCTATTGGCTCTGGAAATGACCGGCCAATGCTCTCACGCCGTCCCCGCTCTGGTTGCTACGCTGGTATCCAACGCGGTGGCTCGTGCAAAGCACCGTCCATCTTTCTATGATGGCATATCCCTTATTAAACAACTCCCGCACTTGCCATCTCTCATCCGGGCTTGTCCAAAGTGAGTAAACTATTTGCTCGTCTGCCTTCAGGCTCCACCATGTTATAACTTGAAATTACATTGCATTTTTCTTCAGATGACACAGCCTTGTGTGCAAAACAAGATTCTGGAGGGGGACATCAAGGTAGTGATGGCTGGATAGTAAATGGTTTTCATCATGAATGCTCTCCCACAGGTTGGCCAATGTTCAGATCAAGCAGTTTGAGGTCGCAGCGGGAGCCGTGCTGAAGAGGACAGAGACACTGACAACTGTGCAGCACGTCCTAAACGACAGCACAGACGCTGAACTTCCTGTGGTGGACTCTCACGGTGAGCCTGACTCTCACCAGCTCAATGACTCAATCTCACTTTAATAACACACCTCCGTGCATGCCAGAAAAGAGTGAAAGCTAGTGAAATGTGTGTGCTGATTAGGGCCAAAGGCCAAATGATTGAACACTCAAGACTGCACCCTCAAGATAATGTGACAGTACTATTGTACGAAATGAGGCCGACAGTCTGAGGGTTGGGCTTATCGATGCCATTCACTTTTTCTCTTGTGTCCCAGACTCTCCTATTCTCCTGGGAACAATCAACAAATCGCTGCTGCGGGAGTGTCTGAAAGAGCATAGAAATGAGGTAAGTGAACCCATAATGTGCTGAGTCATAACAGAAATTGTGCTGAAAGTTACTGAAAGAATAATAAAAATAAAACAAATATTAATCAAAGCATTTCAATTCAAGCTGGATTCTCAGCTGGGGCTTCTTTTTAGGTCATGTCTCTTTTCATCTTTTTTTTTAAGGGGTCATGAACTGGCTTTTTAAATGTTATTATATTGTTGTCGGAGGTCAATTTATGGCGTTCGCTTGGTTTTTGCATTGAAAAACATCAAAATAAATAAGTAATAGGCTATTTCTGCCCTAGTTGTGAGCCTATAGCTCAGAAACGCTCGGTTTTTATGGGCGTCTCGCACTGAAGACTTGGAAGTAAACGCCCACTGTTGTGAGTGGATAACAGTTTTGCATATTATAATGAGTTTCAACTCACCCGTTGATGCACTTGAGGGAAATTTTTTTGAAAACATCCAATGTTATAAAATGACAACCGGAATGATTCGTCCATACATGTTCGACCCAGAGTCCGTGTGTTGCCCCATTCCTGTCAGATCCAATATAGAAAGCACAGCACCGTTCTTTAATCTTAATCGGTCTGAAAATCCAGTCTTGTTTACAAAACAATCCTCAGTGAAATGAAGCGAACAGACGGACAATGTTTTACCCTCATCAGCTGGAACATCATTAAAAATAAAGTTTTGCAGTCCAATTAGAATCCAAACCCCGCTGACTTTCATTATAAGTGCATAAAACAGTTGAAACATTCTTTAAAATATCTGCCACATACACTGTAAAAAATTAATTTCAAGATTTGTTATCACAACATTTTTTCTTTTGTCAAATCAACTTAAATAATTTATTTAGTTCAGATAACTTATTATTTTGAGTTTCTGATGATTAAATCATTCTCATTCATTGTATTAACTCACTTTTTCCATTTCAATCAACTTAAAATTCTGAGGCAACCAGATTACTTCATTTTATAAGTTAAACCAACAATATTTTTTTTACAGTGTAATCAAGTCAGTAGGGTTGGAATGACATGAGAGTGAGTAAAAGATGACAGAATTTTTAATTCGGGGTGAAATTTTATTATTTCTGAACATTGTATTATGTTAATACATACTTGATGCGTTAACTAATGACCTTATATTGTAGTGTTCATAATTTATTTTTCTTTTAAGTTACATTCAAAATCCAATAGGGCACATGATACTCCTGTTTCTTTTTTTTCTTGGAGGGTTCATGTAAACAGCTGGAAGAAGTATGTTCTATTCAACCTGTGCGTCTACATCTGACTCCTGAATCCACCGTAAAGCAGGTGCAGTGAGAATAAACTGGTGACTGTTTCCTTCACATTATGTTTTTGTTCATGTTCGTCTACTATGTGCGTGTTTTTGTGTGTTCTATCAGGCTCATTGTATCATGAGCGTCACGGGTGAGCAGCGTCTGTTTATAACGGAGAGTGGGCGGCTGCGTGGAGTCGTCACATGGAAAGAGGTGATTAGAGCAGTCTGCACATGAACAAATATGTACACATGCATACTTCTAAAAATAAACAAAAATTAATGATGAATACACCAGTCACACGAGCTAGATGTACTTATTGCAAAAAGGATGGTCTTAAGACGTGTGATTTTACTTTCAGATGAAGACAATTATCGAAGAGATGGCAAAGGAAGTCTGATGCATCAGAATCCAGGACAGTCATCAATTTGTGCTTGACATTTTAATAAGAATATTTACTATTTCATCTGCTGGAGATTTTACATGGATCATAATGAGGAGATCAATGAATAATTTTGCATAGGCCCGGTTTCACATACAGGGCTTTGATTAAACCAGGATTATGCCTTAGTTCTATTATGACATTTGCTTTTATAAACGTGCCCTAGAAAAATCCATTACTGGTGTGAATCTTGACATATTTTAAGATATATCACAGTTTAAGTTGCTTTCATTAAAAACAGCTCAAATATTTATTTTAGTCTGGGATTATCTTAAGCCTTGTCTGTGAAACCGGGATGGGGAAATTATTAAGAAATATTATTAAATGAAGCAGCAATTTAATAGGGTACCACAAGGAGAAAGTCTCTCCAAGGTAAAATTTTTTTTTTTTTCAGAAATAGCAACAAACACTACCAGAACACTTTCCTGAATGTCTTGACAGATGGTTAATTTTGAGGTAGATTGATCTACCTTAAAATATATATTTAAATATTTTTTTAAGACTATGTTTTAAATCTAGATTTATCGGAGTAATGAGAATCTCTTAAAAATTATCACATATATTTTGAGACAAAATATGCATTTATGATGTTCAGTTTTTGTCAAGGTGATTAAATCAATAGATATTTAATAACCATCTAAAAAGTGGAACTAGTTTTCATTATTGCCAAAGCCCCTTTTTGCATTTTAAAAATACTTCATTCAACGTCATATGCCACGGAAGAGATTGTGTTTGCTGCAGAGAAAAATTAAATGAAATGTTAATACATAAATGCTGCTTAAAAACATCTTGCTATAGCAAATGTATCTGCGTATGCATATTTTGCCCTATCTCTTTTGCTTTGATGTCTATGTGACGCTGGACCACAAAACGAGACATCGGTCAATTTTTTTGAAATTTTTTGAGAGCTGAATAAATAACCCTTACATTGATGTATGGTTTGTTAGGATACCGGTATTTGGCCGAGATATAATGATTTGAAAATCTGGAATCTGAGGGCGCAAACACATCTAAACATTGTATTGAGAAAATTTTCGTGATTGTGCTGCATTCACTCACAAAAATAAATGTTTTATATATTTACGGTAGGAAATATACAAAATATATTTTTATGGAACATGATCTTTACTTAATATCCTAATGATTTTCTTTGGCATATTTTACCTATACAATGTATTGTTGGCTATTGCCACAAATATACCCATGCTACATGCTACTGGTTTTGTGATCCAGGGTCACATATTGCCTCGAACAGCCTTTTGCCCCTCAACACTTTTTGTATGTCTACAAACTTTTACAAATTTCAGTAACACTTTACTGAGAGCCTTTGAGTATAATGCATTATAAAAGTATTTTATTGCATTAATTGTACACCTTATGTGATCTCGTGAATAATTGTAACCACAGTTATAATACATTATAAAACACGCTTTCAGATGCAACAAAAATCTGTGACTACTAATAATGCCTTTTAACTTTGGTTACAGTTATTAATGAAACAATATAATAATATACACTCACCTGAAGGATTATTAGGAACACCTGTTCAATTTAACATTAATGGAATTATCTAATCAACCAATCACATGGCAGTTGCTTCAATGCATTTAGGGGTGTGGTCCTGGTCAAGACAATCTGCTGAACTCCAAAATTAATGTAAGAATGGGAAACAAAGGGGATTTAAGCAATTCTGAGCGTGGCATGGTTGTTGGTGCCAGACGGGCCAGTTTGAGTATTTCATCTGCTTAGTTACTGGGATTTTCACGCACAACCATTTCTAGGGTTTACAAAGAATGGTGTTAAAAGGGAAAAACATCCAGTATGCGGCAGTCCTGTGGGCGAAAATACCTTTTTGATGCTAGAGGTCAGAGGAGAATGGGCCGAGCTGACAGAAGAGTAACTTTGACTGAAATAACCACTCATTACATCTGAGGTATGCAGCAAAGCATTTGTGAAGCCACAACATGCACAACCTTGAGGCGGATGGGCTACAACAGCAGAAGACCCCACCGGGTACCACTCAACTCCACTACAAATAGGAAAAAGAGGCTACAGTTTGCAAGAGCTCGCCAAAATTGGACAGTTGAAGACTGGAAAAATGTTGCCTGGTCTGATGAGTCTCGATTTTTGTTGAGACATTCAGATGGTAGAGTCAGAATTTGGCGTAAACAGAATGAGAACATGGATCCATCATGCCTTGTTACCACTGTGCAGGCTGGTGGTGGTGGTGTAATGGAGTTAGACTTTAGGTCCCTCAATGCCAAATGAGCATTGTTACTGACCATGTCGATCCCTTTATGGCCACCATGTACCATCCTCTGATGGCTACTTCCAGCAGTATAATGCACCATGTAACAAAGCTTGAATCATTTCAAATTGGTTTCTTGAACATGACCATGAGTTCACTGATACTAAAATGTCACCAGATCTCAATCCAATAGAGCATCTTTGTGATGTGGTGGAACGGGAGCTTTGTGCCCTGGATGTCCATCCCACAAATGTCCATAAACCCCAAGATGCTATCCTATCAATATGGGCCAACATTTCAAAAGAATGCTTTCAGCAGCTTGTTGAATCAATGCCACGTAGAATTAAGGCAGTTCTGAAGGCGAAAGGGGGTCAAACACAGTATTATTATGGTGTTCCTAATAATCCTTTAGGTTGAGTGTATTTCTTATTATTATTTCATTCTCAAAAAAAAATTCTCCACCAATTTTCAATAGAACAAAATATATATCCTTGAATAGTCATACACTTTGGGACCAGACAAAAACTAATGGGGACTGTCAAGCGTTGTGGGTGGGTCTGATAAAACTGACCCTGTATAATATCAGATGCAAGTCTAGAGTTTGAATGAACTGAGATATATGTTTGAAACCTCATGCAGCTTGTTAGCTTTGTGAGTCTCACACTGGGAGAAAAGAGCAGAACAAAGGCTTCAGTAATAAACAGCCTTTGTTTGATTTCTGAACCATCCCCTTTTCTCTCATTATTCCCTGTGCTTTGCAAAGAAAAGGTTTTATAAGAATTAATTTATATTCCCAGTGTGTTGTTCCTTAATATACTGTGCTGAAATACAAATACAATTCCAATTCCGCTCACCACCACAGAGCCTCTATACACAATTAAACCCTACTTGTGGAGCACAAAGCTGTCACACACATTATCTGACAGCGCACATGAGGATCACACGGTGTAAACTTCTATTAAAAGACCCTGGAGCATGAAAACACTTGACCATTCCACCTCCCAACACCCTCCTGTCTCGCCCTCTCCTGCCACTGCATTTACAATAATCCCCTCCATCACTGATTCCCCTCCTCTACCTCATCCCGCACTCTCTCCCTCTATCTCTCTTTCAATCACCTTTCTTTGTTAGTGGAGTGTGAATAGGGCTAATTAAAGAGAAAAGGCAAGACAATTGTTATTCCGGTTTTCACTCCAACACTCGCAAGAACACAAGAATTTTCTTGAAAGCAAGAGCAGCAATGTAGATTAGTCTTTAAAGATTCAATCATAATTTACACGTACAAAGAACTGCACAAAACAGAACAAGCTGACAACTATTAACACAATATGGAGGCAAGTTATTCAAAGGCAGCTGAGGTAACACTTTTTTCCACTTCACTTCTTCATGTGATTTATAAATCTGTGGCCATTGTTACCGTACCCACTTTAAAAAAAAAAAAAAAAAAAAAAAAAAAGTTGAAGTGTGTAATTTTTTGTTACAATACTTTCTTCTCTAGCTTAATATTTCTAATATTAATGTCAAACATTAATATTAATGAACAAATACTTGCTACAAGTAAGCAATTTGTAATTTGATTCCATCTGACATCTTAATATTATTATATTACCATATAATTTTAATAATAATTAACCATTTTCCTATAAGTCAATTTAATATTACACTAAAATTAATGGTCACACTTTATGCTAATTAGCAAATAGTTAATAGAGAGAATAGGACTCTAAAGCATTCCCACATTAACAAACCACATAATTGCTACAAGTAAATAATTTATACCTCATGTCTCATATTCCATGTTATTAATTTGTAGATTAATTTAATCTAATTTTCCATCTTTATATGAGTATAATTCATATTATTTAATACAAATAATATTAGTTATTATTAATTATATTACACAATTAACCTAATCATAATTAACCTTTTAACACTGGCTCAACCAATGGCATGAGTTTGGGGCGGAGCTATCTTTTTCTCCATCCAATAGCAGATGGTGGGAGTGTCCGTACATGTACTTGAAAATAGTCAATATTTTGGAATTTTTATTTGATGAGGATAGCAAAATTACACACTTCAGCTTTAAGTATACAGTCATTTGGTGCGTTAGACATTTTATACTCAAAATCCCCATATAAACATTTAGCATTATGAAAAATCTTTCAAATCTCCACTTCATGGTCCCAAGTAATGATTGCGGCTTTGCTCAAAGCTCAATAAGTCACTTTCACCCTCCAGAGTCCTCACAAAAGGATCCTATTAACCCTGAAGCCCAATTGAGCCGTTCTTAGGGGAAATGCACCAGAAAAAAATGTCTGGTGGAGATGAAAACGTGTTTTATTTTGTTTCTTGCTTCTTCAGTCTATAGGACTAAAAGGCCTCCACTTCTTGTTTATGCTGAGAGGCTGCAGCAAATATCCACAAACACTCAATGTATACTTTTAGATGCATTTATGTGTCAGATCCTTTTACCTTCCTGTAGACATAATTAGTGTGACCCCTTTAACTTACAATCCGATCTCCAACATCATTACCGCAAACGCAGGCTTTCATTTGCAAAATGCAATGTGATATGTGAATGAATTGCCATGTCCACATGTACAACGATCCCTGCGTTCTTTGCTTGTCGAAGAGGCTCAGCTGTAGCTATTGTATACTTTAACGGTAAAGCGATAAGCCCAGACGGAACCTCATATGCGTCTCTCCTCATCAACGAACACAATGAATAGACGAAAAACCTTTTCTCTTTTTGTTCTGATGTGTCATCAAAATTTCAGTTATAAAAAACCTCATCCTCCGAGAGGGAGATGCTGTCTGCGTGTCGCACGGGCCCTTCCGATGGCGAGATCTTCTGCTCCTGAGGAGGATGCTGAGTGTCCAGCGGAGAATGAGAATGACTGGGGGAATGAGACTGAGGAGGATGAGAAGGTGCCAGGGAACTGGTGTCATCAACTTCCATGTGCATTCTGTACAGGTGCTGAGGAACACCCAGACTCCCTCCATCCAACAGGAACTGAGAGAGATAGAGGCCCTCGGGGTCTGTGAAGACATTGTCATCTTTATGAGAGTAGAAATTAAAAAGACCTCAAGCACACACATCTTCTACAATGAAAATTGTAACATAAATGAATAAGCCTAATAACCCCCAAACTCAATATAGAGCTCTGATCTGCTTGATCCATGAGTCATCATGTCCCAGACACATTCAGACATTTCTGTTTTGTAAGACTCCTTAGTACCAAGGTAAAATGTTTTTTTGAACCTGGCTCATCTGGCTAAACAGGTCATGTCATTTGTCTTTGTTCTGGGCTTATTACACCAAGGCTGTCATGATGTTCCCCTTCATAATGAAATAGCACTATTTTTATACAAGCTGAGATAAAGTGAGATGAACCAGATGGTGAGAAAAGCCCTTTCACACATACAGTCTTTTCTGGTAAATTACCGTTAAGATAGCCTATCATGTGTGATCGTGGAGGTCGACGTCTGGCCATCTTGTCTTTTTAAATAACCCAAAACTTGCTAAATTTTCTACAGATTTTCCAAACGGTTTGGTTTGTTATAAATTTCAGAGATGTAGTTATGACACTGCATACTTATGAACAATAAGTGTATAAATAAATTATCTTCCAAAATTATAGCCACGTTAGTAACGTTTGTAAGAAACCGTTTTAAAATTTCAACGAGATAAGAGTGTTTGTGAGTAATTTATTCATTCATCTTACATCAGGTACCACAGAGCCAGCCAGAAACAGCCACAACAGGTGTTTTCTTGTGTGTGGTTTAACGTATATTTGAATCCTTCATGACACTAACATTGGCATGATTCGATTCAGATCATTGTTACAATCTGATGTCACATCTATTTGGGTATTGCAGCTTTAAGTTCGGGGATAATCGACAGTGCTATCATTACCTTGTAATGGGATTGTGCTGGCTGTGGTTTGATTTTCAATGTCCTGTGTGGACCAGGCATTCATCGCTGCCTCAGCCAGAGCAAACTGCTCCGCCACACCTGAGTCAGGCAAAAAGAGATAAACGGTCACAGATACACAGAGTACCAGAAAAAAAGAAGACACTACCTACTCTACTTTTCACACTCGTGTCCTATTAAAAGCATTTCACCTTTAAATAAATATTATAGGAAATTACCAAAATCAAAGAAGTATTTCACACCTGTTTGTCTGTAAAAAAAGAAATCCTTCAGAGTATTAATTACATTTTAACACTTATGAAGAAAATCTTAGCAGTGTTTGCTGCAACCATAAGACAATGACAAGGCGTTGCTAATGACACTATTTTGCAAGTGATGAAATCTGATCTGTTTGTTGAGACGGTGTAGTCAATATCCAGTATTTCTAAATTGGTTGCCATAGTTCTAACATCAACACGTCTCCAAGAGACATACAAGAGCTGTCAGTGTAGAAAGAAAGGATGGAAAAATCCTGCCTCTGTCCTTAATTTTACGCAGTGCTGAACTTGTGAGGAGCCTTAACAAACAAGGTATTACCGTATATACTTTTATGCCGGGCTGAAGGTTTATACTTTGGGTTAGAGGCATGTTCGAAACAAGGTAGCTGCATGTTAAATATATAAATGCCATTTCACCCGCAGCAAAGCGTGCTTCTTTGATTTCATCAGTGAGGTGGGAGTAGAGCTGCTCGTCCTCCTGCAATGCAGCTCCCACACCTCCCCATCCTCCACACCAGCCCCCTCTAGACGCCGCCTCCCCTCCCCAGCTCTTCCACTCAATCAGGTGGGCGACTCGGCCCTGGGCCATCGCTGTGGGCTTAGTGATGTGGTCTTTAAAAGTGGCAAGTAGTCCTAAAGAGAATGGAGGGATTAGCATGGGTGCAAATCAATATTAAAAGAAATGAAAAGAGGGAAGGATATGAAAAGGGTTCTGCTAAAGAGGGGGAAAAGGTGAGAACGAGTAAATCAAGCTTTTTTTTCAATAGTTTTTTAGGATTATTGTCTAAAAGAAGAGACTAGAGGACACTTTAAATGCATTACACTTTGGTGCCCCTTTAAGAAAAAAGAAAAGAAAAATAGGCCCAAATCTCATATTTTCTGTTTTGATATTAAGATTATCTAACATAAAACTAGCCTAGCATAAAAAAGGCTTGTTTTAAACAGTAGCATTCCCCTTAAATTGGTGATTTTGGCCTTTAGCACCTCAGAGGTCTTGATATTCACAATTGTGTCCAATTAAATCATAAAACAATGTCATAATTTTGACATGATCTGCTGAATTGGTTTTCGCTTTGTTGAAGTAATAAACAATGTAAAACAAAGTTTATTAAGCTGTACCCAAGTTATTGGAAGAAAAAATGTTTCAAACAATATTACTTTCTTTGTTTTATAAATTCATTAACTACAAATTAACATTTGGTCCCAAACTAAATCACCATACTGGGTGATTTTAGGGTAAATTTTGATGTAGGGTAAATTTTCAATTCTGTTACCCATTATCGCAAAGTGTGTGTGTGTGTGTGGTTACCAAATCTGTTAATTGCAATTAATCACATCTAACATAAAAGTTTCTATATATATATATATATATATATACATATATATATATATATATGAATATATATATATATATATATAGAGAGAGAGATAGATAGATAGATAGATAGATAGATAGATAGATAGATAGATAGATAGATAGATAGATAGATAGATAGATAGATAGATAGATAGATATAGGTTTATAGAGATATATACTTGGAAAACTATATCAAAAACTATATATATATATATATATATATATATATATATATATATATATATATATATACAAAAGTTAGTATACACACACACACACACACATAATATATATTTACAAATTTTTGTTACAAACCGTTAGATGTGATTAATCGCGATAAATCGATTTGACAGCTCTAGTTTTAAACTATTAAGACATGCCCAAATTTTGGTGAATGAACTAAAAAATGCTAAAATCATATTCAATTAAAAGGAAATATAATAGCTCACAATCGTTAATTAACATTTTCTGAAGGATAAGCACCTCCTTTCAGGCTGTATTTTTTGTACCAAATGTACTAGTGGAAAGAAACATCTCTACACTGAGTGCATAATTATCATGCAAGTCCTTAAAAGCTTATTACTAAACAGTCATTTGCAAAACCCATGACCCTTTCTAATAGCATTTTTACACAAGCAGTTAATTTCTAGCTCTTTTTGTTATTATTCTTTTTTTTGGTTGAGCTGAGATTTGTGGTTCTTTTTTGCTCATTATACATATTCATCGGCTGGTGACTGCATTTATAATTAGACTGAAATGATCAAAAAATGTTCTTTGGAAAAGCTTAAAAACCCATAACACATTATTAGTCTCTGTAATTAACTTCCTGAAGAGAGTGGGCCAAGAGAAGTCAAGCAAAAACACAGTCAGAAAAAAAAACAGGTAGCAAAAGAGGCACTAGAAAAGGAGAGAGAGGGAGAGAGAGAGAGATACTGTTCATAAATGAGAGATATGCAGGCAGAGGGAAATTACATTAGCAAGCTTCTGCAAAGGTCGACTGCTCTTCTGATTCAGATGAATGATTCTGAACGATAGCAAAACCCTATAGCAAAACAACACACAGTGTGACGGTGTCTAATAAGTGCTCTTAGCACCTCACCCAGCAGGGAAGATGTAGCCAATTCTCCGATGTCATACCCGCTGCTGCTCCTTTTATCTGACATGCTGCCATTGTAGGGCTGATGGTTACCCTGAATAACATGACAAGACAGGAAGCACAGCCTACCATACCAAATAAAACCTTCCAGAATATCACATTTGCAAGCAACAGAGTGAATCACAGGTGCTAATTACAACTAACAAGTCACTTTTATCAGATCTTCTTACACATTCAGAGTGTGAAAGAACTCCCATGTATCATTGAAAGTGATCCATTTACGACAGGATGAAAATTCTTGATTTTTGTAAGAAAACACACCTTGAAGATGGGCTGTCCTTCAGCGTATGAGTGAAGCTCTTCCATGGGGTGTTGCTGGCCACTTTGCAGCTCTAGAGGGACAAAATATAATGGTATTCATCGTAAATAATTGTTATTTAATTGATCTTTCCAACAGTGTGCGTGCATGTGGCAGTGTGCATCGAGTTTTATCTGGAGTGGATGGACGGGACACACTCCTGATGCACTCATGTTTCCATGGGAACAAGAGATTGTCTTGACAACACCTCCCTGGGGATCCCCCAATGTTCAAGAGCACGTTTTCCGTCACTGGCCTCATCTCATTGAGGTAAGACCTCAAAGAGGACAGCTAATCTCAGACCTGTGGAGCTTCAGGCACCCGCCTGCATATTATTTACCAACAGATATCAACTGACAATGTGTGACCTTTACAATGTCACACATCATGCGTGTCTTGCCCTCTAAAACCCACCTCCCATTCATCACGGTGAAACTCCATCCATCTAACATATGCATTATGCATGTAGTTTGGACCCTGGCATTTCGCAAGCCATAGCTACGGAGCTCTGGACCTTCTAACCCTCACAGGCTCAGACAAACAAACACTACCCTTTGCTCCCTGGGCTTTACAAATTATCCACTTCATTGGTGCCGTTTCCTTGGAGGACGCCTTGAGGATAAAATGTCACTCCATTTGTGAATACTGAGATATAACAGAGTTAACCGTCTTGCAGCCTGCCTTACAATAATACACTGGTCTTATTCAGATGAGATTATATGATATAAATAAGAACAGAATATTTTCCCTCTGGTGCTCAGAGGAAACTTCCTAGAATTGGTTGTTATCTAAAGGTGATAAGAAATTTGCGACAAATAATTAAAATAAATCCCGTCATAATGTAAGCGATAATGTACACAGCTACTCACTAAATCAACACATGGAATTGAAATATTGACTTGAGAATTTTTTAAAGTCGCCCAGTGATAAAAATCCAGCTTGTAATGTAGTGTATATGTCTATGTGGTGTTTTTATATGCTTTAAATTCATAAGTCAGCGTCATTGCAGAGTATTTTCTCCTTTAAACTGCAGTGAACCAAAGACAGTCTAAAAAAAGAGTCTTTGAAATCGATGGCGTTTATGACGTCACAAACTACCGCAAAGAAAATAGTCAACTACAATGTACTCGATAAGCGACCTAGTAACAGTATTATTGTTAATATACCCAAGTTATCCCTGAGTGTAGTCGCTCACAACTATGTGCTCAGTTTGGATTATTATTGAATGTTGTGATTTTTCCCCCCACGTTCATGCATTATGTAAAATGCTCTGGAGGTAAGCAACAGGTAGGCTAATGGACACAGGACAAACAGAGAAAGACAAACTCAGATACAATCAGGAAGAGACTGACCTTGGTGACCTTTGCAGAAGCAGGAGCCCATGTTCAACAGCTTTGCAGTTATCTGTTCACCATGCTGACAGAGAGCGGGGACACGGGGAAATATTAGCGACAGTGAGAGAGAGAGAACTGCGTGTTTGGAAGAAAGGGGTGTAGAACAGCCAGAGAAAGCCAACTGGAGCATAGAGGTGGAGAAATGAGGGAACTAGGAAAAAGATTGGAGGAAAAAAAGGGAATCAGTATCCATACTAGCTGTTTCTTAAGTGAGGATGGAAGTGAGAAGAGGGAAAGAGAGAGAAGTGGGGAGAAACAGCACACTGGCTGTGTGCACTCAGTCCCTCCCCTCTCTTCTCCTCCCTCTTCTGCTGTTATTTTCTCTCTCAGACCCAACTTTCACACCATTCGCATACTGAAATGATTACCTTACATTGAGGTAACATTAGGGATGCACTTATAACCCCATAATTATTTTCATGTTATGAATAATGGCTCATATTAAAATTCTATGCAATTCAGCCAACATAAACTGAAAAAATAAATAACAAAAGCTAAGATAATTTAAATGCTACAGGTGAATTTAGGCATCACAACATTATATGTACAGTATGAAAAATGTATATTTAATAAAAATAGGGGACATTAGCATGCACAATTAAATACCTAAACAGAAACTATGAATAAAAAAATCTGAATGCAAGACAATAATCGATTTGGTAATGATTGCGCATCACTAGGTTACATAAATTGGAACTGGAATGAGAAAGAGAAATGAGAAGTGGGAAAAAAGTAAATGAGAAAAAAACACATATAAGAGGCCTAATGGAATATAAAGGTGGGTTTATAATTAGATCTTTTCAGGTAAGAAAACAGCTGACATTTCCACAGCAGCAGAAAAGAATAGAAGTTTCTGTGGCTAATTATTGATTTCTGCTGCCCTCCAGTGTCACAAAGGTAAAGTTGCATGCAGACATCCTGAAAGCTAAAAATACAACCATGTTTAATTAGCTTTACTTTAGATCTCATTTACAGCAATGTATTAAAATCATTTCTTATGTAACGTGATTTTCACTATACATCTTGAGCAGACGGCACAAAAGTGATGAAATGTGAAATATGCTAAATGAAATGTATATGTAAATTGTTAGTGGCTACATATCTGTTGTGCCTTAAGCCATGTCGTAAGTTTATGTTTAAAAGTTAAATAATTATTGCATTCATTCAATTCAATAGGTAAACTATTCCAGTAGCGTGTAGCTCTATAACTGAGAATGCTGTCTGCCCAGAGTGACTTACTATGCCTGTATTGTATAATCAATTATCAACTCTGGTTTGAACATGTTTCCATCTGGGTAAATATGAGAAATATTTGTTTTAATGACATGTGAATAACTGCTGTGTAATGACAAACTTTGAGTAAATTAGGCAAAAGTCAATTAAAATATATATATATATATATATATATATATATATGTAGTTTAACAGTATTTGATACTATGCTCTTTTTTATTGATTTAATAAAAAATAAATAAAAACAAGAAACTCAGTGTGTGTATTGGACATTTTTGTACATGATTTAAGTTTATCACAAAAGAAAATGCTCTAGGGTTTTATGTATGCAGGACACATGTCTGAACTTGTGGCTTCAAAAAGAAATTCTTTTCACTCTCTTTGTCTCTTGTCAACCTGTAATCCAGTAAGCAAACATTGTTTAAATTGTTTTTTACTGACATCACCTCAAGTCATGTTCTAGCACAAGGGAAACTCTGCGCCCTTTTTAATGACACTGCGAGATTTTTCCAAGAAATATATATAAATATATATATATATAAATAAATAAATAAATAAATATATATATATATATATATATATATATATATAACAGTTTATATTAAACAATGCAAATATAATTTAATTTAAACATCTCACACTTACCTCAGTAACATTGCTCACATGCTACTTTGAATATTTTAGCTAAAAGAAAGTCTGACACCTTGTGGTAAATCAATGCACTTGCACTCTGCACATACATGTCTTCATCATGAGTTTTTTTTTTTTTTTTTTTTTTACAAAAGAGTAATTGTTTTAAATGAACTTTCTATGTGAAAATAGTAAAGATTTACACAAATTGCACCATGTCAAAATGGGTTATTCTGTCCTTTTCTGAGGTTGCACATGTGCGTCTGATTTTAGTGGGAATGTACATTTCCATTCTGCACAGATTTTCCTGCCCATTCACATAAGCTCTATCTATTTCTCAAATTCATCACAGCATGGAAAAACTACATAACATATTTGTAACTTCTAGAGAAAAAAATGTAGAGGTCGCTTGGCTTCCACCTCTAAAATCACAATAATGACAGAAGATATGGGGCCCAAAAGAATATGAGAGCACTATGAAAAGATTGTTACATATATAGTTGAAAATAAAAATCTTTTACAAAAGATGAAAATAAAAACAAAACAAATCTACGACTCAAATAACCATTAAAAAAGGTTAATAGTGAAAACGTTTGGAGGATAATCTGTTTTTGTGTGTTCAGGGTTTTGTGTGGTGCTTGGAGATTTGCTAATCTTGCCGATGACATTGAGACATGAGTGATGAATTATAATTGGAGAACAGGGCACAGCAAATGTGAGCGGCTTTGTGTAACTAAACATCCGAGTGAACACTTAAATCACGCTAGTGTGCTTCATCAGTTTAATTCTTCATAACATTAACTGTCCTAGTAATCAGAATCATCATGAATAATTAATCATACGAATGGAGGACAACAGTACAAATCATTTTAAGGCACGGCTCTAGTCTTCCTCTTTAATGGCATTTGAGTGAAAATGTATCTGTATTGTCCATAGTTCACCCAAAATGACAGAGTTTTAGTGACATTACTATTTGTGGGTCCTGATAAGTCCAAATGTCTTCTGTTACCAGGAAAAAGTGTCCCGTATTTTAAATATATCTACAGTGCAAGCATATTCTTCAAAAATAATTCTGTATTTTAAGCTTCAGAATCATGAATATTTGTATTCTGGCGTCACTATTGTCCTGTGCATTGGATTATTAGCACTTAGTCCAAGTCTATCCATTTACACCCAATGTAATACCAAATTTAGCATTTTAATCAACAGTACATTTTTTGTTAGCCTTTTTCCATATGTCTTGGAGTATCGCAATAATATCATATCGTGAGTTCAGTATTGTGTCATGCATTGAATCGTGACAAGCGGGTATCATTACACCCTAGTTCTGGCGTGAAAACTCTGTATTTGGAATGGTAATGGATATGACAATGTTGATATGTTTGGTCTTGGCAGAATAGATCTGCTACGCTACTGTTGCTGCTGCAGATCAAGTACGGGACTTGCACTCTGAGCAAATAAGACATGCTGCTGCTGTACAATATGAATTACCCGTAGCAGATTTACTATATACAGGTGGAGCTGGGGAGGTTTTTTTTTTTTTTTTTTTTTTTTTTTTTTTTTAAGTGCGCTGAACTGCTACAGGAACTGCTACAAACCTGTGTTTGAAGGTTGAGCAGGAAGCTCATTGGCTACTGATACAGCAGGAACCAAATTAGCTGTGCCCTACAGAGAACGATGCGATTCCACAGACTATCAATTTTGTATTTCTCTATTCTTGACAAACAACTTTTCTAAAGTACAAATTGTCTTTACTGTATCAAATATTCTGTTATTAAAAACACAAACAGTTTTGTTCATGTTGGTTGAAGAAAAAAAAATCCTTTCCCGTGGGACTTGTCAGTTTGATCCCGTCGCTCACAACACACTCAACACCACTGGTTTTATTTTGGGCTGCTGACTTTGGAGGTCTTTGGCTCAGTGTTTTTTTTCTCTCTGTCTCCATACAGTTTACATACTTCTGTCACCATAAATAACATTTCTAAACCAATAATCCATTTTATGAGTTGTCAGTGGTTATTCCCCTGGAGAGGCTGGACTGTATGCTTTACGCAGTGCAGTGGCCTGAGACATAAGGTTAACTCCTTTAAGAAGAGATGCAGTCAGAGGATGTTTTAAAAATGTCTAAATATTTGTTGCAATCTAGCTTTAATTACAAAATAGTGTATTTTAAAAAGACCCTGTTAAACATAATAATAACAATTATTTGACTTTAATTAAAAAATAAAAAAAGTTTGAATAATGTACACAAACAACATTGAAGGTGCAAACAAAATGTGCACTTTTGAATAACAGAACAGAATTGAATGGAAATTATGTTTACACTCTAAAAAAATGCTGGGTTGTTTTAACCCAATATTTGGGTTTGTCCATATTTGACCCAAATTTGGGTTGAAACAACCCAGCATTTTTTAGAGTGTAAACATAATTTCCATTCAATTCTGTTTTTTAGAGTATATGTAAGATGATATTAAATAAATGATAAATTTTTGACTATTGAGTAATCCACATGACAAAGGTCTACAAAAAAAAAAAAAAAAGATTAAATACAATGACTACCAAAGAAGCTGTTAGACATTACCTATTTTTCTTTTTGCATGTTAAAACATGACAAATGTGTGTCACTTAAATTCAAAATCAGCCTTGAAGGGCGACGCTAGGGGATTTCCAATGCTGGTGCTTTGTAACAACACATTCTTGCCCTAATAAATCACCACAAACCCATAAATCCCATGTCATTTGTTCAAAGTATTGTATTTTCCATACGCCAGAAGTCATTATTGATCAAAATCTCATGCATTTACAGCTTCAATCCATCAGAAACCTGATCTGCTCTTCCTGCCCAGTGTTTTCCCGCTGTAAAGGCCTATCCCTGCTCCACAGCACCAGCTCAGCAGGTTCCCACTACTGTTGACTCCCTCCCACTGTCTGCTGTTCTCACACTTCAGACAAAGATAATCTCACCCGCCTCACCTGCTGCTGCTGCGAGCAAATCCTCGGAGACCCCCCACTTGTTGCTGTCGAAGAGAAAACCCTCCACATTCTTTATCTGCTCCAAAGAAAATGCTGAAAGGTGGATTCACAGATATGATCTGCATGTGGCATTTCTTGTCATTTCTACTGATGCCTAACGTCTCCCTGTAGAGGTTTGGTCCAGTGCTTGCAAAAGCCTGTCAGGAAGAGAAAAAACGGAGGAGGGATATAGTTTCCAGTCCATTCCTGTTTCTTGGCTAATACTGTTAACCTAAACTGTTTTTATGGCAGTAAATCTTGTGCTATATGAAAACTTAAACTTGACAAATCTCATTTTTAAGGGTTTAAATGCTTCAGGACAAATGTATTGCAGCACCACAGGAATTTAGCTCATGAAGAATCGAGATCATAATATCAGCACAAGAAAGCCAGTGTACTTTTGTTAAACAAAAGTGTAATTGTGTTAAAGAGCCATTTCGGAGTAAACACAGATACATGAAAGGACGATGGTGACATCACATGTATCTCATGATACGAAGCTGATCAGCCTGAAGGGCTTTATTTCAATAATGACAGCCAAGTGCACAGTAGCGAAATTCTGCATTTTCAGTAACAGCTTGGATAGAAATGACTATGGTTTTAGCCAGTGAAAATTGCCCAAACAACTGTAGATACAATTACATGTTTTTTTTTTATGAGAACACTTACCAAATAAGTAAATATATTAAAATAAAATTTCAGCCATACAATTCGGTCATTATTTAACGTTAGTAGGCTACTAAACGAGCAAGAGCTGTGCTGACATTCACGATTGTGAATGTTATGTTAACAGTAATTGAGTGCCATTTTACACATGTTACCAGTTACATAGTTTTGTTCTGCCAGCGAAAAAAGTTAATGAAGACATAGCAGAATAAACTGTTTACCCATCTCCAAACAAACACAACACAGTGGTGAAGTTCTGTTACTGAAGGAATCATCTGTTTGGAATAAATAGGCTGTGAATGATTTAATAACTCACTCAAAAATGTTTTTTTTTCTTTCCTTAATGAATCAGTGCTATAAACGAATCTGTCCTAATTTTCTTAAATTTCTTTTTAGACAGGCAATGTTTTATGAATATATTAATTCGGACATACTACTTGGTACTGGCCGCATCTGGAAGCTTTGGCAGCAGTTAGTACTACCAATTTCTCTCAAGAAATTACATCAAAAGTCAAAAACGGTCAAAAATGTGCATTTACACACAAACTGGCCATCAACCACAGCCATTTAAGACGCCATCTTTATTTGTTTAGCATAACTGCCACAGAATTTAATGCAAAGGTTTGTCGAATAGCATAGGCAGTGAGGGATACATCTATGCTGCCTTTAAAAATTGCTCAGATAAAGGGATCTCAAGCCTTAATGTCTTCCTAATCCTGCCTGGGAATGCAATTCAGACGCAGCCACTTTTTTATCACATAATATGGAAGTAGGCATTCGTATAAAGGGATAATTTCATGTATCCTGCAGAAAAAATGAAACATTTTTGGAACGCCGCTCAACCAGTTTTATCAATTTTGTATTGTACACTTTTGCTGCCTGATGTACAAAATGATCCATAATCTTGCTCCCCCTACACTTAAGGGATGTCTGGCCCATAACGAAGGTGCCGGTATGACTAGACCTGCTAGGGGAGACTTGGTACCGAAGCCTTTGGTCAAACAGCTTTTTTGGTTAGAGTAGTGGGGATATGGAATTCCTTACCCATAAACATCCGAAGCATTGATAGCTTCAGTTTTCAAAACCAACTGTAAGCACTGTATAAGAACAAATCTGCTACCACTACTGGCTTTGTTGCATTGTCCCTGTAAAAATAAACAATAGAGTAGAGTAAAGTAAAGTAAAGAGGACAGGAACTGAATTGACAAATCAGGATCAAGTATTAGAGAACCATGTAGTAATATTACTTACTTAAGTAATTAGATCACATGGTTAATATAATAAAAACATATTTATCTGAGCATGAAGCATAAAATATGCTGTTGAAATCAATATGCTGGCAGAGGGATGACCTATTCATATCTCTTTTTCTCAGTTGTCTTTACGTTGCCCTCCTTTGTTTGAAGTCCCCAGCCCTCTCTTGCATCAGGCCAGCAGCATACATCTGCAACACCGTATTCAAGGCTCAGCTGAAAGGAAATTGCTTTAATCCAAAATTGGGTTGAAGCAATTTCCCCGGCCCCTTCCTTAAGCAGTGCCAGATATGGGGACCACCTCAGCAGAGGCTCATGCAGGGGATGAATAGCAGACCTCAGTGTCCTCGGGGCATGTTAACTCTCGTTCCATATGCTGCCTAATTGGTTTAATTACTGTAATTATCTGCTGGGGTTCACATTGTGCAGGCAGGAACGATTAATGGCTTCAAGAACACATGCAGACAGGAGTAAGAGAAGGGAACTGCTGAAGAATGCCAGCAGAAAGAGGGCCGATAAAGTTTGAAAGCACTGTCATGGCCACTCAGGGACAAGGCAAAACAGATCTAATTGAAAGAATACTATAAAGAACCAAAAAATAGAGCTTGTGTTGTTGAGCGGGTAATTGTTTGACCTGAAAACTTAAAACAACACAGTGAAACTTCACGGGAAGCAATCATGCTAGTTTTGTACCATTTGGAGCTGACTTCTTTAAAGCGTAACGGGAAACAAAGGGTGCAAGTTCATATTTCACTGTCAAGCTGTCAAGGTCTGAAAGAACCCTATTTAAGGCACACTGATTGATGAGATACAAACCAGTAAGCATAATTAACCAATCTACACTTCCTTGCACATTGTGAAAATGCAGATAGGATAAGCTATATGTTAAAAATAAGCATCAAGGGCACTTTCATCTCAAAGCAGCATTTGTTTAGTCACCATAATAAATGTAGATGTGTCACAACTGCCAAAATGATAAATCTGTTTCCATAAGAGCCGTCACCAATACCACTGACATTTTAATTGTGGAAGGAAATGTTACAATTTTGTTAAATACATGCACTGGGTGTTGTCCTATAATATTATATACATTCAAATGTGTTTTGTTTTAGCTGAGAACAAACATTGTGGCCTTTGTATATAATTGTTATGGGGGGGGGGGGGCACGTTCACACATATCTAGAAAAAAAGGCTACATAAACAGCAAGTTGTTGCCACAAATTAATGAAGAAGCAGTTGGTTCTCAACTGGTGGGTCACAACCCCAAAATGACTCAATCTGTTTTGTATGTACAGTAGAAAATACTCTAAGAAAAAAGAATTTTTGGTCTGGACCAAAAAAGAAAATGTTACATTTAGTCCTGGTTCACATGCCGTTCTCACCGTCCAATCTAAAGCCAAAAAACAAACAAAAAAATACAAAAAAAAAAACTTTTAAAACATATTTTGGTTAGTTTAGATGTCTTTGGTTCATGCACTCTCAGAAAAAAAGGTACAAAAGCTGTCACTGGGGATGTACCTTTTCAAAAGGTACACTTTTGTACCCAAAGGCTGTATATTGGTACCTTAGTGGTACATATTAGCACCTAAAATGGACATATTACCACCTAAAAAGGACATATTAGCTCATGAAATTGACATATTAGCACCTAAAATGTACATATTAGCACCTAAAATATACATATTAACACTTAAAATGTACATATTAGTACCTCAAATGTACATATTACCACCTAAAATGGACATATTATCACCTAAAATGTACATATTAGCACCTAAAATGTACATATTAGCACTCTTAAAATGTTCATATTAATACTTAAAATGTGCATATTAGCACCCAAAATCTACATATTAACACCTAAAATGTACTTATTAGCTCATGAAATGGACATAAGTTTACCTTTTGAAAAGGTACAGCCCCATAGACAACTTTTGTACCTTTTTTTCTGAGAGTGTGTTGAGTTCATATTTTAGTCAAACCGCACCAGAGTTCTTAGGAATCTGACTTTTCCAAGGGTCTTGGTCCGCTTGTTTGGTGCACACTAAGGTTTAGATGGCAGTGTTCACACTTATTCAAGTGAACCACACTAACAGAGCAATCGTACCAGATCTTGTTTTAATCAAACCAAACCTGCCAAGTGTGAACATAAAGAACCTTTTTCCAGTATTAAGGACCTTTTGTGCAATGGAAAAATTCTTCATTGAACCATGGATGCCAATAAATAAAGAACCCTTATTTTTTAAAGTGTAGTCAAATTGCCGATTACAAACATTGTTCTTTGAAAATTATGAACTAAACTACACAACAAATGTGGTTTAGGGCTGAGTCCACTGTGTTTTGTGTGGTAAATTATTGACTGTGCACTGCAGAACTAGCCTGGTAATACCAAACTCTGCTACTTCGCTTTGCTTCGTACAGTAGACACAGTCTGGAATGGCGTAATTGAAAAGTGTTTTCTTCTTCGCAGGCGGGGGGAGCTTGTCTGAACTATAAAATTATTGGTTATCCATAAGTCAATCACATAACATTTTTATAACGTGTGTTACTCAGCCGCATCAAACTTCCACTATAACACATGTATGCGAAAACGAAACCATAGAGCGAAATACTGGAGTGAACATGGCTGACCGAATTTTGCTGCCGCCTCCTTAACCTGATCCTCCATGAGTGCAACCAAGGGGGACAATGTCGGACATAAGGGGGACAATGGGACATAATCACAACTATCGCCTCGCCGGCCTTTAGCCTCCCCAGTTTATCGCTGATGATCAGTAAAAGTTGATAATTAAACTTTTCCCAAAACCTAGGGCCACAACATCACCTCCATTCAAAATGTTTAATAAACACTCTTTTTGTTCGGGGCCGGGCTTCAGTTTGCAAATGCCGGGAATAGTCCCCACAACGGAGCAAACTGCATACCGTCCATTACAGTGGTCCGTTTTAATTTCCCCAACCTAAAATACAATCTTAAACTCTGTACTTAGCATCTACGTCATGGCCCGCCCTCTGTTCATTGATTGGCCGGCTGTTTTCAGTCCGGAGGAAAACTGAACATGTCGATATCTCAGACTGAGTAGAAGCAAACTGAAATTGAGCGGAAATTCGAAGTCTGACGTAGTCAGGCTAGAAAAGAACATGAAAATATAAAAAACGTCAAATAAAAAAGAGGAGAGTTAAAAACCAAGACCTGACATTTTACCAGTTCAGCTTATGTAATCGTATTAAATTTGTGCATTACTGGATCTATGCTGTCCAATTTTAATACATTGTAATTTTGAGAACATTTTGTCAATATTTGTATCCTAAACTAACTCATTCAGATCGAATTTCATGCCCAATGCAAAAGCCCTGAAGCAACTTTCAGAACCACTAGTTAAGTTACCGAAAAACACCAATGATGAAGAAAAAAAGAGCTAGTGAGTGTGCATAGCCTAAAAACATGAAAATATCATGAAGACAACCAGAATTTGAAGAGGAGAAAGAGAATGAGGATTAGAGAGGAGAGAGTGAGAAACAGAGAGAAAAACTGAGGAAGAAAGACCAATATAGCCCCAAATTGGAGGATGTGTTTTTTGGTCAGAAACCCATCTCTAAAATTAGCCAGGGATGTAAATTCCACAACGTTTTTGACTGTGTTTTCAGATTAAAAAGAGGGCGATGGAAAAGACAAGAAATAAATATAAAAGGGAAAACTCATACTTGGAACTGTATAATGATGATTTTTACAATGGGAGTTCTTTAAAGAGCGGGACATTTTCAAGCCACTGTAAAGGAGGAGTGAACCTGACACCGACTTACAGTAACCTGACACCGACTTTAATTTTTTTTCTTCTCTTTGTATTTTTTTACAGTAAACATGAATTTTCTATTCACAAACCATAGAGAACCTAATTCGACCCCTTTCCGGTCGACCACTATGGGACCTTATGTCAGGGCAGGCCCGGTGTCAGGCAGGTTTTTGAGCATGTAAACCACGAGCGTAGCTTCCAGGCCAGTCACGCCAAACTACCTGAGCGCAATATACACTTATTGTTTCAAACACATGACATTGTAATACATAATAGTGTGTGTATTATTATTATTATTAATTTGACTGCAACGTTATATTGTCCTAAAGTGTATTCTCACCGTGTACCGCCTGCAGAAACACTGCATCTGTGTTGTTTTGTATAGTTTCGCGGGCAACGTGACGTCAGAGTAATAGCTATTAGTAATAGCTTGGCTACATTGTTACGGGAGCTCGCAAAATGTTGCAGGCTGTAGGCTAACGTTACTAAATGCAAGACAAAAAAAAATAAGAGCATTACCGATTTTATCGTTGTCCTGGCCGACTATCCATTTTCAAAATAACTCTTATGAGACTTTTTTGGGTTTGAATCAAAAACACAGCACGAAAGTGTAGTATGATTTCCGAACTAAGTTTTCTTGCGAGCCAGCTCTTTTATTTAATTGTTTAAAAGGAACAGTTCACTGAAATTAATCTCTGGACGATGAGATTCATTAATCAACATTTGACTCACCTGCTGTCTGAACAACAGTAACAACATGCAGACAGTGCAGTACAAGCCTGTGTGGCCTAAAATGATGTCAGTGGAACAGGAAAGCGTTTTCAGAGGTGAAGCAAGATATTACATTTTAAAGTACCCGTGAACCGGAAGTTGCAAACGATTTTTCTCCAGTGCTGTGACGTATTTCCAAGTGAAACGGAATATTGGACAGAGGGCAGGGTTTTACTCTAGCGCTCCTCCTCTCCATCTCTCGCTCATAGCAAACTAACGGTTTGAGGGGAGTGGTTAAGCGTTTCTCCACCCAAACTGTGAAACCTACGTCATCAGAAAAAGAAACCGTTCCAGACCGGAAGTAACTTTTCAGATTTTGATTAAAGATTACTAAGGTAAAACATTTTTTTAATATATATTCACTTGCACGGATTAATTGTTCACCACAAGACTAGTAATATGCGCTTACAATGTAAATAGGTTCAATTTTGATTTCACGGGGACTTTAATAAAATTCAACATTATTACTTTAGAATAACTTTTAGACTACCAATGAACCACAAAATTCACTAAAAGACCAGGAACTTTTGTTTTTGATTCATCAAGGTCGAACATAGGCCTACACAATGACTGAATCACATGAGGCACATATTACGTAAAATTGAAATACATTCCAGGCCACCGATGCAGGTACACCTGAACAAAAGAAGACGAAGCATGCCCTAGCCTAGACATAAATGGATGCAGGAGGACACTTTTTTGTTCCCCTGCTGTACCTGTTTGACTTCCATGATGGCATTTCATTCTCCAGCCAGCATCCCCTGTCCGATTACTTTCGTATATAAATATTTACATTCCAACTTTGACATTTTCCACCTTATCAAAAGGGTGCATTAGTGGCATTGTTACCTACATCACTCAGCAGCAGCTGATAAATTCAATACTCTGGGCGCCAGACAAAAGCCTCTCTTAATTTGGGTTCAGTGAGGCTGTGGTTATGGACAGGAGGGGCTAAATTGAGAACAAAGTAAATTGTCCTGTATGGGTTATAAGGTTCATTGGCTTCTGTCATAGTTTACAGATGGACTGCAAACCGGCAACTAATTAAATATAGGGGCTGCTCTGACCAATTAGATAATGCAGTCATGCAAAGCTTCTGGCTTCCTTGAGTACATTAAGTAGTACTGAGCAATTCAATACAGCTCTAATGTACTACAATGAGGCTGTAATTGGGAGAAGCAACTTCATTTCTATTATGCCTTTTTTATTGTTGTGGATGATGACACAAATAAAGAAATCATAGTGAAATTGAATTTAAAGGCTACAAAGATTTTATTGTGACTGAAAGACAAACTTCCATTACAAATAAATCCCAATTCAGTGTCCTTGAAACAATAAATAAAGTAAAAAATAAATAGACTATTAAATAAAATACAAAACAATTGGCCAAATCAAACATGTTTTTGTTTGTGTGGAAATATGCCCATGAGTGGGGTTCATAACTGAGCTTATAAAATTTCAATATTTTTAAAAAAGTCAGAACTAAGATAGAAGATCAAAAATAACAAATTTCCCTTTCCAAAAAGTCCTGCCATTATTACAGTTTGCCAGTATCAACGTCCCATTTAGAAAAGATTTGAAACAAAATATCAACCGCAAACAAAAACTAAAATGTCATTTCTAAATATGGAAGAACTCATCTGCATTCAACATCTAGAAATAATCAGAACAATGTGAAATTAACAAGGAACTGCAATATCATCCATTTAGAGTTAGGTAGCTGAATTTCTCCCCAGTAAATACAACATAGCCTCGAAAAGGAGTTTAACATTGAAACAGAGTTTTTCCCTTACAGGGAGGCTTGTACAGTATCTGCCCCCATCTGAAACCCTACTGTGGTCCTAGAAAGTCAGAGGAAATAATCAAGGAAGGTCATAGCATTTCAGCAAAGCTTGGATCAGTTAATCATAAACCAGATCTTCTGAAGATAGTCTCCGCAATTCACAGCTCCAGGCGACTTTAATCTGCTGATGCAAAATGAATAACAGACCTTGGTATATCATCCACATATCCTGGTAAACATAACTGTCTGTTTGATCATTTTCTTAGTTTGCAAGAACTGTCACTTGGTGCAAATATCTGAAAATCAGAACCGTGCCTTTGTTTGCAGAAGACCGCCGGATTACATTTTCCCATTTGATTTAGACCGACAATCTGTTCCAGAACAGTTTTTCCTTCTTAACCCATTCCCATTTTGTCATTTCGCTCGCTCTTTGTTCCTTCAATCCTTAATGTCATCATTGCTGCAACCTTTCATAACGATAAGGGATGAGACAGCTGCTGAGATTTCTGATTTAAGTGCTATTTCATGGCGGTGCCTCCGCTCTTCTTGTTTGCAGAGAAAACACAGAATTTAAGGAACGCCTTGCTGCTCCGTTTCATCTAAACCAGAGACTTTAAACTTGATGGTCCAAAGCATATAGCGCTGAGAGTGCAATTGTAATGAAAATGTCATCGTGCGAGACATAAAATCGCGGCCAACTCAAGCATGATAGAAACCAGAGAGCATTACAATCACCTTGATCTCAGCGGAATATCACTGAGTCTTACGTTAAACCCTCATTTCTGGTATAGAAAGACCTGTTGGTCTGTTTTTCTCTCGTAATGCTGAAGAGTTCAGTCAAGAGCAGTACAGTGCCAGTTCTCCTTCAAACCCATTAAGATCTGAGAGTAAAGTGAGCGCTATCTACTAGCACTGATCACTCTCTGGTGAGAATAAAGCATGCATATGAAACTTAACAAAAAACGTAAAAACTAAACTAAAGAAATTACTATATTTTTGACAAGAAAATAAACATATGCATATAGTAAAAAATAAATCTAATATACATGGTTTGATGCATACATCAATAGCTTTTTGATTGTTTTACACTTCCTCCATTTTTTTTAGAAGTACATCAAATGCTACAAGTCTCCACGGCGGTGAGAGTCCATCTCGCAAGGCTGGAGGGTTAAGGTCAGGTCAAGGGCTGTCCCTGCAGTCCAATCCTGAGGCAGCTGAGAGTTTATTCAGTCCACAGCCAAAGGGACAGTTCACACTGCAAACACACTCAGGGTGCTCGTCTGGTCCTTAAGCCCCAAGATGCTATAGGCAATCCTCTTCAGATGGCCCGGCAGACGGACTCCGATGTTACGGATATCCCTGGGAGACAGAAAAGAGCGTGTGAGAACGTGAGAGCAGTGTAATTCATTTTTTTTAATTTTGTTTCTTTTATCCTCGATTTGTCTTTTGTTCGTTCTCACAGTTTTTGCTTAATTTTATTTTTTAGCCACAGTTAATACGCTCTTTAAAATAATGGTTCCAAAACTGGGTTTTTGCAGCGATGGCATAGATTGGAAGAACCATTTTTGTTTCCTCAAAGAACCATTTTTTTCTTAACAGAGTAGAAAGGTTCCAAGAATGTTAAAGGTTCTTAATGGAACCATGGATGCAAAATAAAGAACCTTTATTTTTAAGAGTGTACGCTAAATTTAAAAATATATATATATTTATATTTTAGTCATTGTATTTTAGTTTAGTTTCAAGCTGCCTTCATTCACTCCAAAAAAAACTGTTTTTTTCACAGTTTTAATTTAGTTCCAGTTTTTTATTTGAATTTTAGCCCAATTTAATGCAAAGCTTTATAATAATGTATTTAAAATTTTATTATTTTACTTGGTCTTTGGAATGAAAATCTTTTTCAGTTAAGTTTCCCCAGTTAAGTTAGCATTTCTTTTATTTAAAATTTGTATTATCCTTTTTTATATAATATTTATTTTATATAATAACACACTGTGGGAGGGTACTCAAAAAAAGACACAATCTTATCTTTCAAAAAGTAATTTTGACGCAGAGTTCAAAACATGACCTGTTCTCCAAATCCTAATCACGGTTTTATTTAGCACCTTGATGAAGCATTCCCTTCACCCACCATGAATCAGAGCTGGCCGGCACAGCCAGCGGAGGACTTGTAAATAGTTTCTGGTTTTAAAGAGTGCTACCAGATGACACCAGATGGAACAGTCCGCCATAAAATAAAAGACAAACACATCAAAGGCATTTCTGGTCCTCCACACAAAGTTCAACATGCTTCTTCTAGGCTAAAAACACCCACGGGAGCTGAGCCAGAGGTCTTAGAGCTCCAGTATGCTGTTACTACACTCCCAACCCCTTCATCAGTCAAACTGCCTCCTCCGCGAGGTCCAGCACTGTCGTCTCTACCTCCACATGTACATCAGCTCTCTCGTTCACCATCCCTACACTCTTTCATCTCATGTCCTGACTTTTAAGTCCAATCCTGTTGATGTGAGGGGGAGTAGCCGCATAGCCTCATTGCCCCAGCAGGCAGAAACAGTGGTTCCTGGCTGCAGTGAAAGCACAGTCCTCGACTAGCGCTGTTGGGAATGGGAGGGATGAGAGAGCCTGCCGAAACAGTGGGAGGAAGGGAGGAATGGCAGAACAGGGAAGGGGGAGAAGCATGCCACTATCCACCACATCGAGGCCACTAAAAACGAAGACTATTCTTTCTCTGCTGCCACAATGTTTTCCACTCAACCTTAAAGCAACGAGTAGCATTTTAAGCTGTAAAAGACACTGTGAAGTTTTAACATTTGTAAGTAAAAAGTTCCCGCCTGACTTGATTAAAAGTCTTAAAAATGTTAAATTGTTGTTACAATATATGTGGTTTCCGCTCTCGCCAGATACAGTAAATCAAAAATGGTCTGCGGTGGTGCAAGATTATCCTTGTAACCAAAGCATACATTTAAGCCACGTTCAATTACCGGATCCCTAAAACAAAAAACATGGAAAGTATTTATATGTTCTAGGAATTATTAAAAGTTAGAAGATACCATCTTACTTAAATACGATCTTGTCCTGATCAATCTGCCTCAGTGTAGGCTGTATGCCACAGAAAAGAGAACTTTCCAAACACTCTAATTTCCTTCAAAAATTCCAGGAACTCTCAAATTATGTTCATCTGGGGCCATTTTATTCAAAGCATTAATGCACTATTTTAAATAATGTCAGAATTGTAGCCTAACTAGTTTTGTATTATACAG